ATGGAAATGAAAATGAAAAATGTTTTATTAACAGAAAAATATATACAATAGGTAATATCTGTTGGTTTCCTCACTAGGCAAGCCTGTATCGAGGGAACCTGAGACCAAAGTTCACAAGGCATTATTTTATACAACTTATCAGACAATCTGTCTTAATATACCTACATAAAATAGCAGTAAAAGAACTGCTTAATGCTCAAAATCTAAAAACATAAAAAAAGAATGAAACCTTTAACAACCAAGCCAAGTTTTATATAACTGCAATGTATTAACTATATATATATATATATATATATATATATATATATATATATATATATATATATATATATATATGTATTTACATTTAAAAAGAAAAAGAAAATAAAATTAAAACAACAACAATATTTACCTAAAAATTTCACAAATACCATCAATTAGCAAAAGTCAGTTTTTAACAATTCTTCTGTTTCCTCATATGATAGGGTGACCAACCATTTCTTTATGATTAATTTTGCTGATGCATATTTTTTATTTATAATATTACAGTGTTTGACGACTTTATTTATAAATTTGTCTTTTGATAAAGTCGCTAAAACGTTGGGCAAATTTTGTATTGACAGAAGGTATGGATAGTTTATATGGCTTAGGTGTATTTGGACTTACATTCCCAACTTATCTTAACAAATTAAAGTCTATACAGACAAGATTCTTAAAGATATCAGTTGATCCTAAAATAAATAAAAAATGCTCTAGATAAAAATTATGAAATGTTATTTAGAATTTGTAAAATTATTCCCATAGACATGAAAGTAAAATCCATCATCATATTAGAACAGCATGGGATGGTAACATTTAAGAAACCTAAGACATGTATAATGCCGAAGCGCCAAATTACACAAAGAAGGAAATATCTCATACCTAGGGTTGAAAATTACTTTGGAATGGCAAACAAGGCAGTGGATAACTACAACCTTCTCTAATGAGGTGGCGGATATATATGAAGAAAGCGTAACCAAGTCGCAGCTCAAATCCATCTTGAGGAAACATTATCTATCGTTGTGTCCATAATGAATGTTTCTTTTATTATTTATGTGTTAATTTAAGTATTTATAAGTACCAGATATTGTTATTAAAGAGTGTGAAACGATAAACTGTTGCGTTGTCTGCAAACTGCCTTACAGTTTGGCAAAATTTTAATTGTAAATAATGTACACTATTTATAAGAATAAATAAAAAACATGTCTATGGGCCACAGCATCTAGTGGTAAGTCGTTATCGAATTTTTAACGTACGAAACGAAACCGTTTTCCCGTCGACGAAAACGGTTGCAGAAAACGGTCGTCGTTGCAACTGGTTAGAAGACGGCTTAAAGGACGAAACTTATCCAACATGGAATAGAATTGCGTTTTCGTTGAGTGAAATGGTTGCAGTTTTTTACAAATTTCAATGATTTAAAATGTATGAAATGGTTTACTAAGTAATTCGTTTTATCCATCGTCTTTACTTAACAATGAAATGCACTTCACTTCATACTTTTCCAGGCTTAGGATTGGCTGGTATAGCTAGACAATCCTACTAAGCATTACTATTAATATTATCGATTAACATTAGCGACTGTATTTCTTGACAAAAAGTTAACTTTTTACTGCAAATACTGTTTAGTCTATGTCTACTTTGTAAACGAACGCGGAACCAAATACTACAATATAACGTGAAACGATATTGTTGAATCATTGCGTTCTCGTCTTTATTTTCATAGGCCTAAAATAAAAGATCGCTCCAAGTAATTCGAAGACTGGTTTGTGCAATGAAGACTGTTTGAAGCCAGGACGTAGGTAAAACGGTTTCACCGTAGCATAACACAAAATGGTCTTTGTAAAACTGTCAGGTTTATGTAGGTTTTACTGTCAGGTTTATGTAGGTTTTTTTATATAATAAGGGATATAGAATAAGGGTGTGTTATCCTCGATTAAGAATCAAAACGTAGATGCGTTGTCACCCCTGATGACTAAGATGGAATGCCTCGTTTCTAGTAAAAAGGGGTCTCCGAATCTCTATACTTATCATACGAAACACAACAGTATTAAGCTGCTATATTACGCTGGTATTCTGTGAGACCGTGGCCCTTCCCGGTCGAGCCGACCCATTCGTGCTACAACCGTAATATAGCTGCAGCGTGATTTTACCACGTATAAAAATAGTTATTCAAAGAATATGCTTTCTATTTATCTTGTCTTTTTTCTTGGCCTCAAATTTGCAACACATAATACCAAGCGGTTGGCAAGGACTCAAAGGGGAAGCCAGCGGTATGTGGGAGGGCGAGCGAGTACGCCGCGTGCTCAGGAGAGGAGCGCCAGTCGCCGGTGGTCGCTTCCAACGGTTACTTGTATACTAGACGATCCGAAGATGAGTAAACCGATTGGACGACAGTCAAAAGAAATTGTGTCCCAAGAATACCAGAACGATATTAATTTGGCAAAAACCATGACTGTAGCAACAGGGCTCTCGGAAAGAACAATAAGAAGAATTGTCAGTGAAAGAAATACAATGGATGACACTGCAGGTCCTTCCAAGTTCAAATCTCTCAGAAAAATCTTGTTTCCCAAAAATCGAATTGAAGTAAATAGTGTCACTTTAGGAGTGATACGATGTAAAGTCTAAAAAATGAAAGTGTAAAAAAAATTATTTATTAATTATTATTATTCGATGATTAATCTTTTATTTCCCAATACTCGTTCTACTTTCGGCGTGCATTACATTTTATACTAGTACTAGATTTTGCAAAACTTCCTCATGAACCACTCCGTCTATTGGAGAAAACCGCACGAAAATCCGTTCATTTGTTTTTGAGTTTATTATACAGACAGACGCGGCGAGGGACTTTTTTATAATATAAAGTGATTTAATATTATATCAAATTCATCAATAAATCACACAATACTTCGTAATAAATCTAAATAAATCAATATTAATCTCAAGATAACTCGTTCCCAAATCCCTACGTATGTAGCCGTGGGCGTGGCCTCGTGCACGAGCTGTGTGCTACCTCGTCCCCGTCCACCCTGTACCCCGTGTACGGCGTGGGTGCACGCCGTTGACGGCCTAGATGTAATGTTATATTGTTACTTTCGCCTAACGGCGGCTCTACACGTTGGCCAACATAGTGGCGAAGATATTGGCGGAGAGTTTGTGACGGCATCCTCACGTTGGAAGGTCGTTCAGTTTGCTTTGGTTCAGGCCAATGTGCGGACGAAGTTTCGCTCCGTGACGGCTTAGCATTGAGTGGCTGCGCGGGGGGCCGCGAGTTTGAATCCCGCACGGAACAAGTATTTGTATGTCTTACAAATAATTGTTCCGGGTCTGGATGTGTATCCTTGTGCAATTTATATTTGTAACCTGCCTTCGCGATACAGGAGAAAATCCGTGTTAATCCGGGGGTTAACGTTTTTATAAAATAATTATAAAAGAACAGTGAATATTAATGGGGCTGTAAATAGATATACGATACACGATTAGCTTTATTTATTCTTTACATGCATCATAAACTGGAATAAATACCATTAATTAGAACTTAACTTATTTTAAAATTAAAGGAGTTATAATCGATTAGTCTATATTTTAAAATTGGGTTTTGATTCTAAAATTTATTTTATTTATTTTCAAAACATGTATTTGCTTTTCTATCAGACGTTTGATGTATATAAAACACCTTATTTGGTAATTTAATTATTTTTTGAGAAAGACAAAAACAATAGCAATAAATATAATTAACAATGACTTAATAATGGGTACTAATTATAACTTTGAACATAAATGAAAAACTCATGACAAGGAAAGTGGCTCAGGACCATGCTTTGCGGCAGTCTGTGGAGGAGAATGTTCAGTTCAGTAGTGGACTTGTGAAGAGCTATAATGATGATGATGATTTGAAAACAAACGATTAAATTATAAGAAATCGACTTTTTTATAGGATAGGGTGACAAACTAGCACACAGTTCACCTGATAGTAGGTGGTTACTGTGGCCCATAGACATCTACATCTATCCTCGATTACGAATCAAAATGCAGATGCGTTGTCACCCGTGAGGACTAAGATGAAATGCCTCGTTTCCTTTAAAAAGGGTCTCTGGTTCTCTACACTCACTATACGAAACACAGCATCATTAAGCTACTATTTTACGTTGATATTCTGTGACACCGTGGTCCTTCCCCGGTCGAGCCGACCTTCGTGCTACAACTATACTTCTAATATAACTGCATGGTTCTATCACGTATAAACGACGTGCTTCATTTTTTCTTCATTTTAAAATTGTTCTCGTAATAATCTGATTGTAAATAAACGTTAATTTTTTTTGATAAATAGCTTATCGATTAAAACAAATGTTTAAAAATAATTAAATTGCGCTAATTAAAGTAGTAGGAATGTTTAAAGTTGAAATTGGCACTAAAATGCTGGTAATTGGGGCATCCACCCTACAAAGCGTGAATATAAAATTTAAATCAGATGCGTGGACTCTGGGAGCTTGTAGCAAACTAAACGCGCGGCCAAAGTGTGGACGCGGCGACCAAACTCTGCCAACAATCCTCTGATCTTTTGTAAAAAACCGACACCACACGGATCTCGCGCCAACTTGTGGGCCATCGTTCCAATACATACCAATGAAGCCCAAACACCCGCTCTACACGTTGGCCAATGCTATTGGCCACTACATTGGCCACTGTGTTGGCCGACGTGTAGAGGCGCCGTAAGGACTTTACACCACTTAATAACAAATACATTATTTCACTTAATTTGTAAAAAGATCACAAACAAGTTAACGGTTGATTAGAGACATATTAATTAAACGAGATTAAAATCTTTACCATCGTCAGCCTTATTAAATGCACTACTTGGCATACCAGTCCTTTCTAAGAAGATTATTAGCCTATACTCAAATAAAGGGGCTTTTCTTAAAGATATCTTTAAATTAAACACAATAATTTAGCCAACTTAATATTTTTAATAATAATAACGTAATCTAATAAACATAGCTGCACCCTAGATTAGGGGTCAAACCAATTAGAGAGTAATCGATTGTAGGTACAGCAACTTGTATGTATGAACCATCAGGTGAAACAATTTCGCTTATAATTGTAACTTCACCATCTCCACATCCGTACTCAACAGCTCCTTGACCCGCGGCAGTTATTGGACCTTCCATAGCCGCTGTAGCTAGGATTGGCAGTTGGCCACACACGGAAAGTGACCCTTCCACAACTAGGTTATCCGAGACGATCGTTACGCCATTTGGGGCGATAGGCGATGCACTGGTAACAGCGAAACCACCGCCGTGAGGAGAAGAGTGTCCAGGTATAGCGTTGTTAGCTAACGTCGTACCGTACGCCATGCCATTGTATGCTAAATCATTGGCTACAGTGCAACCAACGCCAGCATTGTAAGCTGTGCCTACACACTGCCCTGAAATTATCTGTAGAGGTAAAAAAATGTTATTATCTATCATCTTCAGCATTGTTGGTCAGAACTAGATTATAAAGCAAGTACCTATATAACTAAGCATTGCTTTAGTTTTTGTATTGTGATATGAATTGTTCAACCACCTGCCCTCATCGTAGAGTCACGCATTCGTTTTAACTTACTCGTATCTGATGTAATACTTTTTGAGATAAGATCGAAGGTAGATTAGGGTACACTGTTATATGGTAGGATACCTTGTAGGATACGGCATATCTAGACAAGGAAATAAATTGATTGAGTTTTTACCAAAACTTTGGTTTATTAAACTCTCAGAAACTTAGAGTAATAAGCCACGCATCACGAGTGAGTGTCTGATGCCTATCTATCACCTTTTTTTCTAGCCCGTTACAATCTACCGATGTATATGGGAGTCTTATATCGCGGCTTGGGAAGTTTTGCTTTTGTCACGCTTGGCAGGCGGATACACATTTGCAGTTTCCGACATCGCTGATCTGAGTGACTAAAGTCCAGCGTAAATGAAATGCCATCATAAGATATGAGATCTATGTGGCATTTTGCAGTCACCTCTCACTACACTACGGCTCCAAATGGGATGACAAACTCATTAACGCCTGCATCACAAGGCAATCTATGTATATATATACACTTCGAGCTTATCCACAGGTCATAATGTACAGTAGTCCACGCGCGATAAAATTATTTTTTTCCACAGCGTGTTGGGTTCGTTGTGTGTGTGTCTTAATATGTTACGTTTTTAATATCAAATTATTATAAATTAAATACTTACATGAAACAGAAGCGCAGGCAAACAAATTGTGATGAAATTTACTAACATTTTTATTTGTTTGCTGTAGAGTTTATGTAGGAATGGAGCATTAAATTTATGTAAATGTTTTTATACTGCACTTTAAAGAATATTAAGTCACATTTCATTCTCGTGTTTCTTCTGATTGAATAATATATTTTGTTTACATGATAGTAGTGAAATAAGTTGACTTTTATATATTTCACTGTTACGATGTTTCTTATCGTTATTACATAAACCTATATTTCCATTATTTTTGTACGCAATGTGTAGGATTTTATTTAATTTTAATTAGTTCATTTTATTGAAAGAATTTAATACTTTGTTTCCATTTAGAATATTTTATTATTAATAATTTCAATATATTAAATATATAATTTCATTACATTAAACATGCTTTAAATTGCGCATGACAGTGGAATTCACAGTCCGTTCTTTTTTTGCAAGCCATAAGTGATTGACTTTCGAGTTTTATCATTTTGAAATTGTTTATGTGTCTGCCGGAATTAGGTATTACTTTTATTTTACGCTGTAAGTATCGGGTACGAGATGATGACACGACCACGGTAATTTTATCTATATAATATTACCGTGACACGACAGTGCCTCTGTGTTTACGGGAAAACATCATGTAAAATGATTAAGGTTTTATTAAGGTGTATAGAAATTTACTTTGGTTTTTTCGCAAATAAAAGTTATGAAAACACTTAAGTTTGAAGAAATTAAATCAATCTAACAGTGTAAATTTTGAATTGAAAACTTCTTTAGAATCATTGTGATTTGAAACTCGATAAAATGTAAAAGCGACACTAAAAGAGACAAATGTATCCTATAGATGTATCTATAGGATTTCACCTGTGATATAATGAAATAGAATACCTATAGTATAAAGTGTTTCAAAACAATCTACAATATTATAAAATATAATTTATAATATAATTTTTAAACTTGGTAATAAAATCAAAATAAATAAACCCTACACGTAGGTATCCTATTCCTGATACTCTGCATTCGTTTCATTCTCTCGAAGTTTAGTTTTCTTAAGGTTAAGTATATATATATATATATATCAGGTACATGACTACTAGGTATATCACAAAAATTGTTTAAGGGGTGGCTGAGATTTGAGATTTGTTATTATTTATTTTATACATTTTATTATATTTTACACACTTGTTATATATGATGCAGAGATAGGATGAAGTAGGTGTTAGAAAAAAAGTTGATATAAGAAATCTCTTTTCTACTTTTAGACTAAATTATACATTTCTTGAATTTAATCTAATTAAAAATTAGATAGTTTTAAACACCTTTTGAACTTGGGCAAAGGTACATATTAATTTTATGATACTAGATTATTTTATAATGGAAATTGGCTGATTTACGTGTTCTTATAAATTTCTCAAATATAAAATAAAACTGTTATTTTTTTTTAATATTTAGCCCGCTGAAGTAATAGTTATGTGACAAAACTGCCACGTTAGTGCTGTCAGTCAGCGCCTTGCCAAGAAGTGTGTGTGCTTGTGCAAAATGCCGCACCATGAAACGTTGTCGGGTCTGAGCGTCTCCCGTTAATTCAAGCCCAATTTATGGTTGATGGAATTTAAAAAAACGCGCAAAGGGCCGCTGCCTGGAGTTCGCCAGGGCGCGTCTGGAGCAGACGGTGGACGGGACAGCATGCGTACTGCCAGCCAAGCACGAAATATTGCACGACCATCCAGCAGCCCCTCGCAACAGCTTGCTTGATGTCGGCAGGGTCTTCGCAGGCCCAGCAATCGGCACCCGCCACTGGTGGAGTACGCCGCATGCGATGGACAATCAAGTTGAATACCAACGCATTGCGGGCGTATTTTAGGGCGAAGGGGGGAGAAGTTGGAGGTTTTGCGTATCTTCCAGAGTGATCAGAAGAAACACTATGAATCATGAGCGGCCAATTGTAAATATAACGGGCCCAGCACCGAATTAGGCGTTAGCCTAAACACTGTCGCATTCTGGCACGGTTTGCGATCAGAGACCGGAAACCACAGCGAGGGCCCTTGGAAGAAAGTTGTGGCGAGTATTATGCCCATGGACCCCGTCATCATAGTGCCGGATGATGTAGCTGAGGCGCTCTGTAGGGCCCTAAACGGAAAAATTCCGGGACTCGACGGGCGGCATCACTACTGGCTGAAGGGCTTCGTGGTGTGTCACTCTGTGCTGGCATGACAGTTTAAAGAAGCTCTCAACCAGAAGTCGCTTCCGAGCCTTCACTACTGGGATCACTCATTTGGTTCTTAAGGACCAGGGTGTCACAGACCAGAGCAAATACCGACCCATTACGTGTCTGGCGACCATATACAAGACATTAACATCTATAAATGATAGATTCAGGCGTTACTTTGCGGAAATCCATTATAATGGATTGAAGAGCCAGGTAAGACACATCATTGTATTTAGTTAGCGGATGTAATTGAATTGAAAATGTAATTAATATCTTTATTATTAACATCTATTTTGAGCGCGATAATTACTCATCATCTGGACTCAAATCAGGTGATGTTTCGTGCTCAAAATCGATACCGGGGTGGTGGTCGTGGAACCAAGGAACCACTCTTCATTGGCAAAGTGGTGAAACGCAACTGTTGGAACTTCTCCGCCGCCGGGATAGACTACAGAAAGGCATTCGACTCAGTGCCTCATACATGGCTAAAGAGGGTCCTCGAGCTGTACAAGTTTGACTGTACAGTTAGAGACTTCCTCGAGTAGTATATGGGGCAGTGGAGTAGAATTTTTTCATCTGGGCGAGCGGATGATGGCTGCGGAAAGCCGCTTAAGGATAAGAAGAGTTATCTTCCATGGCAATTGTCTGAGTCCAATCTGGTTCTGCCTCTTTTGAACCCTCTCAGTACTTTACTGGAGGGCTCCGGGAGAGGATTTCAGCTACGTTAAGGAGGTACAAAAGTGACCCACCTTTTCTATATGGATGACCTCAAGTTATTCACTTCCAGTCCCTCCCATCTTGTGGAAGTTGGGTTTTTAGGTTTAATTTATTTTTTATTTTAAATACTTTATTTTTAATATTATAGTTATATGTGTATTTGATATAATATTTAAAAAAAACATAAACACATATTATATCAACATAAATTTTATATTGCCCATATATACTTTTTATTTTTGTATGTCCCTTAACTAGATGAAAATAATATAAAAATTTTCATATAATAATAATATCCTCCAGACCGAATTCCGGTTATGGCGGTCAGTGTCAACGGTGATTAGCTTTCTGGGGAGGACAGGAATTTAGTGGATCGGCGGTCTATACGTTTCACTAGAAGTTTTCTTCCGAGTACAACCTTTCCGTGGAATAGTTTATCTTCGCAATTTTTGCGGACCAGTACGACCTAGGAACCTTCAAGAAAAGAGCTTACTCCTTTCTAAAAGGCCGACAATACACCTGCAATTCCCCTGGTGCTGCAGTTGTTCGCGGCGGTAGTCACTTTACATCAGGTGAACTGTATGCTCGTTTGCCCCCCCTCCTATTAAAAATAAAGGTATTCCATCTTAGTGCTCAGGGGTGACGCGTCTGCATTTTGATTCTAAATTGAGGACAGATGTAGATCTCCATGGGTCACAGCATCCACTTTCCATTAGGCGAACAGTGTGCTTGTTTGTGTTTCTGATCCTATAAAAAATATCGCGTTTTATTTTAACGTTTCGGGCACTTTACTGCATCTATGATCGATCGAACGAGCTCACAGTCGATTTTGAACTCTTGCAGTAGCATGCTTGGATTTGGATTCACTTTTATTAATTATTGGCTCCCATGGTGCCAAATAAAATAAATTAATATAAAAACATCAGCAACACACAATAAAACGACACCAAAAGTAAATTTGTCATTTGGTGTTGTCCTTCGAAGCCAACAAAATACTAACTATGACGAAGCCCACCACGTTACCCACCAGATTTACACAATCGTACCCTAGGTCGGGAAGTGGATACCAAATGAACTCACTGAACGGCAACAACAAACTCGCGTCGAAGTCTAGACATAATACCATATGGGAAACATAATATGGGAAAATCCTAAATCGGATTATTTTTTGTGAATTGAATTTTAATACTACGAAAAGTTCATTTCAATATTTAGACTCACCAATCCTCATGTGCAGCGTCGTAGTATTAGCAAGTTTTTAAAAGAGCACATTGTTCGAAAGTCATGTATCCAAAAAGTATTGATTGACAATTAACCAAATATTTTAATAATTAGTCTGTAGCATCCACTAAATCTTTAAAGAAAAAAACATAATTTATATTTTATTATCTTGCCTAGAATTAGCTGTGAGGACCGGCGTAAGGTTTTTATTATAATATTAAGTAAAAAATAAAATAACAGCCCACCTTATTGAAGAAACATATTATTATTTACATTTTAGTTATAAGCTTATAATTTCACCATATAAAATGCAACTGGTTGAAGTACCCATTACCCAACCATGCGGATTAACAAATTATGCAGAAAAAGCGCACCAACATACCCCGAGCGTTTAGGACGACCGAGATGTTTAGGAGTTTGGCTGCGGCGCTGCGCGGTTGCTGGTTCGAATCCTGCACGAAACAAGTGTTTGTATGGCCTAAAAATATTGTTCCTGTTCTGTATGTCTGTTTATGTGCAATTTATGTGTGTTAAACTCCTGTATGTAAATTTATCCTGTATAAAATTATTCATAAACAAATTGTGAGACTTTACATTTCCTCGAAATATGTTTCACTATTTACAAAAGTAAGTAACGTCATGATATTTCCTCTTACTATCAAGGTGAAATTTATAACTAAAATACCGAAACTAATTTTTTTATTGAAATTTACACATGTAATATATTTATTATTATAATATATTTATATTATATTAGTGATCCGCCCCGACTTCGCACGGTAGATTTCTGTATCTCGACAACAGCGCCACCTACCAGGTCGCAATATGAATATAAACCATCTAGTGACCCATTCAAATAAACACACAAAAATTTTCATCAATAGCGTCGAGCCGTTTTTGAGTTTTAGTGAGACTAATGGACAGCTATTGATTTTTATATATAGAAGAAATGCCGATACTGTCAAAAAATCATCTCAACAAGATACACCAATAAACTAAAGAGTAATTTACAATAACAGTGATATCGACATCGGAGATTAAATAATAATTCACGGCTCAATAAGTCTGATGGTAATATACTTATAACAAATTAAAAATTAAACAGAAATATAAAAAAAACACATAGGAAATTAAACAGAAACAGCGTATAAATCCAACTATTTATTGTTTAACAAAAAATTATTGTAATATATTATTACTAAATCCAGTCCAATTTAAATGAAATTAAAGTTTTGACAGGATCTCCTATGCTATGCAACCACGGTAGTTAGGGCTCGTTCCCGTAAAGCCATATCCAAAGCCCACTTCTCCAGGGTAACCAAACCCATTGCCACGGCCAAATTGTGATGCGGGAGGTGCGATTTCTTCAGATATGATACCAATTTCACCATTACCACATCCATAGGATACAGCACCTCTTCCAACAGCAGGTATTTCGCCTTGTACGGCTACACTGGCCAAGAATGGTAACTGTCCGTTTACGAGAATTGGCCCTTCAACAACTAAGTTGTCAGAGAATATGGATATGCTTCCGGGTGGAATACGTGATGTACTTGTGATAGGAAAGTTTTCAACGATATTTGGTCCGTATGTTAAAGGAGTCTCTGCAATGATTGCTCCACACGGCAATCCTGCTAGAGGCGCTCCGAGGCATAACCCAAAGGGATTTCCCAAAACTAAATTTTCAGTAGGAATACCATTGCCAATAATTCCATTGTATGAATTTCCTGTATATTGACCGTTGATTGTCTGCGAAAATAAATAAATGTACGCATGAAATAATTCTTTCAGCAAATTTTCAAAAATGATGTAATGTTTTATACATATCAAACTCGTAATGTCAAAATTATTTCAAGTCAATCCTGCAAATTATGAACAATTATAGCAATTATTTACTTCAATAAAAAGTAAAGTTAGCACAATATATAATTCCAAAAAGTGGGCGCAGACCTTTTCTCATTTCTGAGATATTTAAGACTAGTCGGGGTCCATGATATGCCACGGCTTTTTGTAAGTACAAGTTTTAAATATAGTTAATTGGATATTTAACAGTCAGTCAGTGCTTTTGATTAGTTCCAGGTTCTAGGGTCCTAAGTCTAGGATACTATGTCCCTGAACCACCATGGCTATACTATAATACCAGTTCAATAATTTGATATGTCTATATTTTTATATTTATATATAATTTAATAAAGAATATAATTATTTTATATCTTATTACCACTAATTTTTAATTTAAATATAATTTTCGAAATACCTTTAGAAATAGCGATGAAACGAAAAATAATATGATTTTTGAATACATGTTTGTGTAATTAATGTAAGCACTGAATGGTATATTTGTTTCCAATAAAAGTTTATATATCAATTTGTATACCTTTTATGTAAATATGTTATGAGTAACAGTAATACTTTCATAATTGTTTATCACGTGTTGCTACTAAATATTTTATTTGTATTTTGTACATAATGAAATATAAAATTAATATAAATTATACGTAATCAACATAATTGCAGTATATAACGACACACATATTGTAATTATGTTGTAAAATTAAATAACGAAATAATATATTTAATATAAATGACATTGGTTGATTCATGGACGTATAGTACGTGTATAATTAGAAGGCAGTGAAATATGTTGCGTTCCGTTTGTTTACTTGCTTGTCTGTTTCAGGTAATTATTATCAATTTTTTTTATGAATTATTACGATCTAAAAGTGACCAATTGATAATTAATATTAAACCTTTCCCTGTCCCGTGATCCACATATGGGTCATTGCAATTATATTACTATTGTGTCTGCAAGTCGAGCAGTTAAGTGTTAAAATACTAAAGCGTATGCGACAGCTAAGTAAACTATACTTCTTAAGTAAACTATACTTATCTGTCACACACGGAAAAGCTCATTCTAATTTTATATCCTATTAAAAATGTGACAAGCGAGCACATAGTCCACCTTATGACAAGTGGATGCTTTAGCAAAAAGACGCACGTATTGCAGTCATAATACGTTGCATGTTTTTTTATAGAAGAGGGCGCAGACGAGCATGCGGCTCACCTGATGTTAAGTGACTACCGCCGCCCATGATCAACCGCAACACCAGGGGAATTGCAGGTGCGTTGCCGTCCCTTTAGAAAGGAGTAAGCTCTTTTCTTGAAGGTCCCCAGGTCGTATCGGTCCGGAAAAATCGCCGGTGGTAAACTATTCCACAGAGAGTTTGCACGCGGAAGAAAACTCCTTGTGAAACATACAGTGGTGGACCGCCAAGCATCCAGATGGTTTGGATGGTATCGGTACGTTTGCCGCGTAGTGCGTTCACGAAATTTGGCGGCTGGGACTAATCCCAACAATTCCTCAGAGCACTCCCCATGGTATATGCGAAAGAAAATGCAAAGAGATGCAACATCTCTTCGCAGCGCCAGTGAATCGAGCCGATCGGAAAGCACTCGGTCGTCGACGATTCGAGCCGCTCTGCGCTGGATGCCGTCAAGTGGATGGAGCTGGTACTGGGGAGCCCCAGCCCAGAGATGGGAACATTATTCCATGTGCGGCCGAACATGCGCCTTGTAAAAATTGCAGGCGGTGTGCCGGCATGAAATACTGTCCCGCTCTGCTGAACACGCCAAGGTTTTTAGAGGCCAATTTGGCATTCTCTTCCAAGTGACCACGAAACTGCACGTCACTCGATATATCGACGCCGAGGATTCCAATAGGCAACAATGGGAGTACCTTGAAACCGAGGAGATACGACAAAGGGGTACTTTTTAGCAGTTAACGCGCAAACTTGTATCTTCTGGGGGTTAAACTGGACTAGATATAGTCGCCCCCAATCCGAGAGTCTGTTCAGCAAAGACTTGACTTCAGACACAAGTTTGTCCCGGTACTCGGAGACGTTTTCCCGAGAAATATTGGCACGGCCGGTGTAAAGAGCATCACCAGTGCTGTCATCAGCATAGCAATGAATGTTACGGGTTTGCAACATATCATTGATATGCAGAAGAAACAGCGTTGGCGATAGCACGCAGCCTTGTGGAACACCAGCATTAATATGCTTGATGTCGGAGCTTGCACCGTCTACAACGACCCTGTTACTGTGACTTTACTACGTATCATCATTAGCTCTAATCCTGGCAGGTATCCGTAAATCCACGTGTAAGCGCGTATTTTGAATGTGGGCTGACATTACAAACTATTCGAGCCCCCGAACTCCTCGAGGAGCCTTAGTAAGTTTTTAATGTTACCGATGACCTCGGGGTGTTGTACCCCGGTTAATATTTCTGTACTTATTTCTGAAGCTGGCAAACGCCGGCGAAGTAATAAAATTATTGTTGGTGCCATCAGAACACGGCTATCTGTAGAACAGTTCTATATAATTATTTTATAGTATACATAGTATTATTATTATACGAATTAGTTGTTATGTTAATGTATCATGACTATAAATATATATCCGATAACTCATGGGAAAAAAAAGGTTCACGAGTGGCAGCCTCGTACCGACTAGACACACACTACACTAGATGGAGTGACGACCTCGTAAGACATGCAGGTAGTCGATTGATGCAGGTGATTCAGAACCGTGTTTTGTGGAATTCCTTGGGAGACGCTTATGTTCAGCAGTAGAATTGTAATGATGATGATGATATAGTATTAACATTTTTCTTTGAAATTCCTCCTATTACTTTACTTCCATTTTTATTTTAGATTGCTCTCGGCCAGTGCAGTGGAAGTCTAGGACAAATTGCGCCAGTAAATGCAGTGGCTTCTGGTCCTGGTTACGGATACGGAGAGCTGGGTCTGGTACCAGCTTATGACTTAGGGGGCTATAGAGGTTTAAGTTTCCCTGGTCCTTACAATTCTAATGGAAATTATGGAGGTGTTGGAACTGCAGATGTATCAGTGGTTGGAGAAATGCCTGTTGCTGGTAGCACCGTCGTCGTTGGCCAGGTACCGGTAGTAGGTAATGTGCGATTCGGTGGTCAAATTCCAGCTGGTGGTATTTTTTCAGTCTCTGGAAGTTGCAGCTGCGGCCTTAACGGCGCCATCATCAGTTGAATATATTAGTTATTTCTTACTAAAGTGTTAATTTTTTGATATATTCAATTAAAAAACTATATAAAGAAGGTAAAGATTTTTTATTTCTTTAACAAAAGATAAAAATAAAATAAAAGATCCAATACTTTTAAATGTATATATCTCTGAAATAGTTAAAAATACCAAATTACTTTTTGGTATTAATATTATTTATATACTGATATTTCACAAATTGTTTATTTTTCGTTTTTATTTTAGGATTTTCTAACTTTAGCTTTGCTAAAACTCATTTATTTTTATGTTTTTTTAAGAAATTAAACATATTTTAATGATGTAATTTAAGTATGAAAATAAATTGCGTTTGCAAATTGAATAAAACTATTATTTACGGATTTTATCACGTTTAATTACTTTAATATATTTTTATTATCCCGACGTTTCGGGTGCTTTACAGCACCCATGGTCACGGGGGGGACGAGATGTTTGACGTCCCAATGTCATAGTTAGTCCGGCTACCTTTCAGTTTTTGAATATTAACTTTTGGTCTGATTTACGCAAAACGAGCTTATAGTATCATGACGTCTTGCAGTGGTATGCTTGAGTTTGGGCTAAATTTTGTTAATTATAGAATCTCAAGCAGCTGGCAGCACCAATCTATCTTCTCTATTGAAATTTGAATGTTTTTTTTATTTCAATAGCCTCGCGTATCATCCTTGGTAGGAATCGGTGTTCTTTTGCGAGGATTTGTGGTTTATCAAATCAAATGTAATGGTGGGGACGATCTTGAACATGTTCGCAGACTGCAGACTTCCCGGAGCGTCGGTGCTTCACGTCAGCTACATGTTCCTTCACGCGGGTTTTTATAGATCTTTTTGTTTGACCTATGTAAGAGAGACCACATTCACAATCTAGCTTGTACACACCTGCATCCTGTAGAGGAATATTACTTTTGATGGATGGTAAAAATTGACTAATCTTCTTCGGCGGCTTGTAGTATGTTTTAATGGAAGCTCGCTTCAAGATGTAGCCAATCTTGTCTGTGACTCCTCTGACATATGGTAGTACAGCAGGCGCGCGCTCGACTGTGGCTGGCTTCAATCGTTCACTGTGACGTAGGCGCGGGACCCGAAGCTTGTTGTCATGCAATACTAGCTTGACGTGCTGAAGCTCGGCGGCCAGATGTTTTCTCTTACAGATCCCTCGTGCTCTCTGAAACAAAGATTTACCCACGGTAGCTAACTGTGAAGGATGATGGTGAGATTCACCATTTAGATATCGGTTGGTATGGGTCTTTTCCCTATATACAGTATGACCAATAGTGTTATCAGGATTTCGGATGACTAAAACATTTAGGAAGGCTATAGAATTATTTTCCTCTAACTCCATTGTGAATTGTATTTTAGAGCTTATGGAGTTAAGGTGCTCTAAAAATGCGGTTACTTTGTCAGTCATGGTAAAATTGTGAAAGTGTCGTCTACGTACCGCTTGTAGAACCTTGGATTTACAGGAGCAGTAAGATGGGCTTTCTCCTCAAAGTCCTCCATGAATATTTCGGCTACTATGGGAGACACAGTGTGCCCATCGCCACACCATCTACTTGCTTGTAGAACTCCTCCTTCCACAATAGATAGCCAGATGTGAGGCAGTGTTCAAGTAATATTGCATATTCTTGAGGCGTGTTATTTTCTTCTAGCTTCCTAGTAACAATTGAGATGCAGTCAATAATAGGTAGGCATGTAAATAGTGACTGAACATCAAAACTGACCATAGTTTCATTGTCAACGAGATGTTGGTCTTTTATCTCACTCATAAAATGGTATGAATCCTTTGTGCTTGCTTTGTGTGCTCTGGTATGTCCTCTCAGTCGTGATAGTATTTTTGCTAAGTGTTGTGCCAGCTTATAAGTTGGTGAATCGATCTGGCTCACGTAGTAGTGGAGCGTTTGGTTTGTGTATCTTCGCTAACCCATACAATCTTGGTGGTTTGGTGCATGATGGTATAAGCGAATTCAAAAGAAAACGTCGGGATAGTAAAAATAAATTAAAGTAATTAAACGCGATAAAATCCGTAAATAATAGTTTTATTCAATGTGTAGTGTTCGCGTAAATTTAAGAAATCATTTTGCGTTTGCAAAGTTTAATTTTTAAAACTACTAAATCTACTAACGTTCTGAATTGAGATTACTCCGATCAGAAAAGAAACGGCGAAAGAAAAACCCCAAGTTTTTTCCTATATAGTAAAAAGAGGTAATATTACATAATATAAGTATATGCAGAATGGCAAACAACGACAATCCCATCGTTAACTGAAGTAGAGTACTGAAGTAGTTAAGCGTACAGCGAACCCGTGCAAACCACAAGCGTCACCCGTTTGCATATAGCAGCCATAATCCTCCTCGACCTGAAAGGGATATAATATTAAAATTATTTTAATTATCATCGACCCATAAAGGATTCAAAATTCCATGCTTGGTAAGCGGATTGCTGATCGCAGAGCCCCTAGCTAGCTAGCCCCTGTTTCACAATCATTTTGGATTTGATGGTATTTGAAATGGTTCTAAGGCGAAAAAAGTGGACTGTGCTCATTTGTCTTCTTTATTTTTATATATCATAAAAATATAATGACCTCCAAACCGAATTTCGGTCACGTCGGCCAGCCTCAATGGAGACCAGCCATCGGCGCAGGACAGCATTATAGTGCTCGAGTGTGTAGTGCACCTGTGCACTACACACTCGAGCACGATTCCCTCACTGTCATAATCCGATCGGACGATAAACCGACACGACCGGAGAGAAAATCAGGTCCAGAACCAACCAATTTACGTGCTTTCAAAGACACGGGGGTGACACACCGCCAACTTCCTAACTCCGGGCAACTACTAAGAATTTCTTGACGGAAAAACTTAATAATTGACTTTTTTGGCCCGACTCGGGATTCGAAACCAGGACCACATGATCAGCAGTCGCACTACTACAGGCCTTAGACCAACGAGGCAGTCATAATAAAAAATATATTACAATATTAACGATGGCTCTAATAAATATGTACTACGATTGCCCATAACGCTGCAGACTAATGCGTAATAAATAATACAATGAAATTTCATTAGAAGGTTTCCGTTTCAGGACGACTTCTACAACAAATTTCGAATTTTTTATTTATTATATATCCAAATATATTATCCTCAGTCACACATTTTTCACTTCGTTTTCTTTTCGATCTTTTCAGTAAATACTGGGATTACAATTCAAAATTATTTCATAGAAACAAGGGTAATATAGGTAAGGTCTTCCGCCCGAGGTCAGACCAATGCTCCATGTGGTACTACGTAACTGTCATCTATATGTAATATGTCTACGTAGTACATATAACTCAATGATAGATGTTCTCTTTAGTTCTGAAACTTCGGTAGATAGCGCGATTAAAGGCACGTATTCATTGAGAAACAATTGTTTATAAACACTGTTTCAAAACAAATTCTAAAAGTTTACCGAACATATTTACATTTTGTTTCGGTAAACTTTGCGTGTTTATCAGCATGTTTCAGTGCTCCTACTCTCAGCACCACTTCAAAAACAAATCAGTTCCACAAAAGGTGCATGCGAGTGTGGACGCGTCTAAATATTTTTTTACAAACATGGCTGCAGAGTGGAACGACGAAACTGTTTTTAAATTAATAGAACTGTTTGAAAAAAAAAAAAAAGAATAATATGAGATTGCTTGACAAAGAATTACAAAAAACAAATCAAAAAGAATGACGCCTGGGAAGAAATTTCGAACGCTTTGGCAATTCCAAAACAGATGTTGAGAGCAAAATGCATATATTGCGGTCGCAATTTGCAAGAGGGAAAAAGAAAATGTTGTCTACAAAAACCACAGGTGTTGAACTGCAGATATTAAGAAATTAAAATGGAAATTTTATGAATAACTTATTGTTTTACAAATTACGACTAGAGGTGATGATGCGTATATTTTAAATAAAACAGTGAGCGTATTATTCTTATTTTTTTATGTAAACAGCTGTAGGCAGGTAAATATTCTATCTAACATATACGAAAATACTACTGCGATAGCATTCTCCTTAAGCTACATTGTTTTGCCACGGCAGGCTTCCTCACTAATCGCCAACTTGATCCCTTATGCGTGCTAATTTCTAGGTTGCCTTTCCAATTCCAACATTGAAGTTCCTTCACCTGTATACCTGTACACCTTTCACAACATTATGTTCAGTATCTTCAAAATCAAAAGCCATCGGGGGCGTATACAAGTCTCTAGATTGTTTATTCCTTCTTAAAACGTTATGCAAGTAAATGCAAGCCATTAAAGTAAGTTCAAGAGCCTCAGGTTTGAGAGGAATTGGTTTGCGAAATACACGAAAAACCACACATTAAATTCCAAAAACGTTAAAACGTTTTCTACAACCCTCCTGACCCTACAGAGTCCATCGTTGAAAATGCGTTTCATTGTGCCATGGTTATGAAAACCCGTGTACTCATCAAGTTTTCCGATAGTGGAAATGCACTATTGTCCAGTATTACATGAGGAAGGTCAAGTCCATCTGGTGATATTATTTCTTCGTTTGGAAGGTTAAGACGGTCTTCCACCATTCTTTGATAGAAACTCGTTTCTTGGAAGATGCCACTGTCAGATGCTCTTCCTTTCGCACCACAGTTTGCATATTATATAACATTATAAGATGCATCTACAATAGCCTGTAGTACAATACTAAACTGATCTTTGTAATTGTAGTAATCACTGTAACTATTTTAGAGGCTTCAATAACCACTTCCTATCTATAGCTCTGATATAGTAATATAATGTTAGTATGGAAAATTCTACAATTCATTCCACTCACGGGCCTATTTGTTCCAGTGCGCTTCGATACACGGAACGTTAAAAATTATTGTGTTTAAAATTGCAGGCAAACCGTGATGACCTCCTCGTAACTAAAGAGCCAGAACAGCAATGTGAGCAGCAGAGACCATATTATCCACTACCACCATCCCCACTACCATATATAA